GGCCGAGGCAAGTGGACTGCCTGAGCCCGCGAGTTCGAGATCAGGCCAGGCAACTTGGTGAGACCTCGTCTCTACAATAAATAAATTTTAAAAATTTAGCCAGGCATGGTGGCGTGCACCTGTAGTTTCAGCTACTTGGAAGGCTGAGGCAGACAAATCGCCAGATGTCGACACTGGGGTGGCCATGAGTGGACCACTGCACTCCAGCCTGGGCAACGGAGTGAGACTCTAACTCAAAAAAAAAAAACCTCTTTTACATCTCTCGGGATATGTGTGCTGAGGAGGCAAGTGCAAGTAACAGACAGTGAGGAAGCCACTGGAGTGACCCGGCGAGAGGTGGCCAAGGCTCAAGAGGTGAAACTGCACATCACACGTCCATGGCCGTCGTGATCAGCTAATGGGGAGGCCCAGCAGTAATTAAGAACAAGAACTTGGGCGTCTCGTTTCCCGTTCAAACCCAATTATACCACTTGCCAGCTTTGCAACTGCAAGTGTGCTACTTAATCCTTAACTGAACACTCTCTTCCTCTCTCCAATGACATGATAGAACTGCTATGACGATTCCAAGATGAAAACGTGTAAAACGTCTGACAGAGTTCAGTGTCTGACACATAGTAAGATCTCAGTAAATACTTGCTAAGGTTATTTGTATCTGTGCCTGGCCTTAAACACTTTCTAGTACATAACTTTATGGCATATAATTTGGTTCCCAAAATGCAAATGGAAACCAATTTTAAAAATTTAATAACTCAACAGGTAGAGACTTTTTTGTATTAAATTCTAAAGGAGTCACCTTTGCTACACTGTGTAATTATATCATTGCTATTTTAGATTTTATAAACAACCCTGATATTTTAGAAATTTATCTTGACAGTTAAATTCTTTCACTTCTAGATAACCAAAAGTTCGAATCAAATATTGAAATCTGACATCTAAGATTTTAATTTAATATACTGTGGGAAAAATCAAAATTTAATTAATAAAGGTCAAAAAGTACTTCTTCAAAAGACCCTGGAAACTACATCACTAACATGAATATATTATAACAACTACATTTAAAATAGCTCCATGTTTAGGGAATTCAAATTTGAGGTCAAAATAATTTCTTTCCAGACTCTTAGTGAACTTTAACCTTGAGATGACTGACCTAATTGCACTACCATTAACTGTCCACTTGGGATTCAATTTAGAGAATAAATTGTGGAAATACCATAGATTAAGCTCAATTTTAACCCTGTTGCTGCCATTTTGTTTTTAACCTTGAATTCCTTCATCTCGAAAACAGTGAAAACAGTGAACATTAAGAAACACTTCCAGTTAACATCATTGTAAAGATGAAATGTGAGTGCAACAAGCAAAGTATCAGTGGTGAAACTGTGTAACATTTACGGCCAGGAAAAGCTCCGACTTCGCCTGATGACTCCATCTGACGCCTCCAAGGACACGTTAGCCTCAGAGAAGACAAAGGGAAGGGCGAGCTCGCAAAGATCCGGCAGCTGCGGCTACGAATGAGGTGAGAATCGTGGAAATGATTAACTCTGCACAAAATATTTAGTGTCTGAGGGCAAATCACTGGAAGATCAGCATTAGCAAGCACTGTCACTGTTTCTCCTGCGGATTTAACAGACCCAAGCAAGACCCTGACAACTAGCAGACACGCAGGGACGCCCAAGCCGGCAACCTGGAATCCATCCCTCCGTCCCAGGTCTGGTCCATTACGAAACTCTGTCCATTCTACCTCAGTAATGTATCTCAGTATGCCCACTGCTCTCTACTGTCCGACTCCGGTGTCCTAACCCTAGTCGTCATCAACATGGGGACAGGGGCTGAGGCTTCCTGACTGTCCTGCTCCAGTCCTCTTTCCACACAGTAACCAAGACAATTGCTGCAAAATGCAAATGGAACGAAGTCTATCCTTGCTTAAGCCTTCTGTGGCTTTCCGCGGTCCTAGAAACAAAACCAACCCTTGCATGCTGTCCCTGACTCTCTCTCTCTAAGCTCTTTGCACCGGACACCACCCACGCCTGCCTCCCTGGGCACCAGCAGCCAAGCTCACCCAGAGTAGGCGGCCTGCTGCTCTCCCCCAGACCCCAGCCCTCCCATTTTCAGCTCCTGAAGGGGCTTTTCTTGACCTCCCCTCATTACTTTATTCATTTGCCTCATTGTCACCTGTTCTTTACACCCAGAGCCCTTATCACAGATGGTGGCCACAGGGAGGAGTCTACTTATTTAATGTCTGTTTCTGCCTCCAGACCATGGCCTCCCCTTCCAGGCAGGTTCCTCTATCTTCCCAGCGCTTAGAACAGAGCCTGCCATACAGGAAGTGCTCAGTAAAGATTTATGAGCATATCAACAGGGTGCCTGAATGAAACGTAATTGTATACCTAACCCTTAACTGTACCCCACAAAACCATAATAAAAAACATTAATAAAAAAGATTTATGAGTGAATGAGAAGACCATTATTACTAAATGCATATGACTGCTTTTCCAAGTTATCTAGGAAACGATGGCCACGGCAAAGGAGGACAAAGAGGACAGAAGAGATCTTGTCATGGTTTTACCACTCACTGAAACCAGGCGGAATTGAACAAGGTGCTGACCAGGAAGCTCAGTAAGGCTTAATAATATCTGAATATAGTCACGTGAAAGTGATTTGCCCAAAAGTACAAGCTGCCTCACCTGAAAATGGGTTCAGGGAATGTTTGGCTACCCACATCGTGAATTACGTCATCCACAAAACTCATTCCGGCTGGAGTTGCCCGTAAAGTCCCTCCTGTTTGCCTCATTCTTCTGCATTTTTACATCAAGCCCGAATCACACATGACTCTATTCTTGTTCTTTAACTGTTTTCCACAGACTTCAGGCCCTCCTGACCCAGAATCTAATCAGGACTCTTCTACCATTTTGTGTGTCTCTTTAAAATTTAGTACAGGGTGAGATAAATGGGAGCCCAAAAGAAATGGTGCTTGTTGATTAACTAAAGAAACGATGGACTCATTCAGCGATAATAGGCACTTCCTTCGTATCCACTTGTTCAGCTAATTTTCCATATTATGGATTAATTCCAATTATCTTAAAAGCTTACTAAAATCACATCTTCTATAGCTTAGGCATGACTTATTGTTTCGGAAGATATATTTGACTCTCTGTATAAATGTTTATAACATGCTTATACATTTCCTTTAAATTAAGGTTTCTGGGGAGTTGTTACCTAATCGGCTTTATTATTAACCCAATAGCAAAGGGTTTATGGAAAATAATTTCGAGACATCTAAAGGTCACCACTCTTGTTCATCTGTCATTCTCACATCACGAAACTCTGGACATCCAAGATGCTCTCCATGGACCAAATTTAACCAGCTCCACAAAGAGCAACCATGCAGTATTTTTAGCTTCAAGTCTAATCTGCCTACTTCCACTAACTCCACAGTCCAGAACACCTAGACACCTGTTCCTATCTACTGTTGAATTGGCACTTCCAGGTGTCATGCTAAAAAGTTCAGGTCAGTAATTCCACTGAAACTGAATGAGAAAATAAGCCTGGTCTATGTAGGCTTAATTCCTTTGAAATTATTGTAGGATTCTGAGAAATCTGCATACGAAAAAGCTTGATTTTACATGCGAATCACATACAATACCAAAACAAATATCATTTGAAGTCACCATTGTAACCACTAAACAAACTCATAAATGCCTGAATAGAAATGTGGGCATCTTGTGAAAATAACATGGTAGCCCAGGCACAGTGGCTCAAGCCTGTAATCCCAACACTTTGGGAGGCCAAGGCGAGAGGATTGCCTGAGCCCACAGGTTCGAGAACAGCCCAGGCAACTTGGCGAGACCTCATCTCTACAGCAAATCAAAAAATTAGCAGGGCATGGTAATGCACGCCTATAGGTCTGCCTATTTGGAAGGCTGACACGGAAGGATTGCCTGAGCCCAGCAGGTCGACAATGGGATGGCCGTGAGTGTGCCAGTGCACTCCAGCCTGGGCAACGAGGTGAGACTCCAACTCAAAAAAATAAAAATAAAAATAAAATAAAATAACATGGTACATTCCCTGATCTAAACCACAATATCTAGAACCAAGCTATATATGCCTAAAAATAAAACCCAGGGACACACTAATAATTACAGTATTTTAAACATGTATGAATGAACTTAAAATTATGACAAAAGCTATAACCAAATGGAAAACCAAAGCAAAATGTACAGAGCTCCCTGTTAGCAAGCATAGTCCTTATTTAGACTATAACCTCCCTGACCCTGGCCCCAGGAGCTTTGTGGTAAGCTCCTGGAGGACATGCAAACTGGTGTCTCTTTTGCGCATCCAGGTTCTTATAAAGAACAGCACTTTGCACACAGGTACAAATCAACAATTAAGTCATCATTACATATTTAATATTACATATTAACAATCAATACACATTAAATAGTCAAGAGAAAGAACGTGGCAGTAGGCCAAACATTTTTGTTCACAGCAGAAAAATTAATTTTGAAGAAATTGAGGAAGCTATAAAACAAACATAAAACTAAAATTGTGACGGCCATAATTCCATTCTCATCTGATAATCCTTCAGAGGTCACCATAGGATCATTATTAGGAATATCAGGTAATTATATTACCCATGTTGTAAAAAAACACTATCAGTATAGACTTAAGTCAACAGAATTTAAGACTGAAGATTTAGATTTCAGATACCTATGATTTTATAGGCATCAATACATTTGTTGAGCCGCTGAAAACTAGTTTTATTAAAATGTCTCTACTGAGAAAATGACAGGAGAAATCTTTGCGGCTTAAGATCTGGATTTCTCCGTTTCCATCAGCCATTTTCCCTAAGCATTTTCACCATAATTCAAAATGTACATAGTAATACTTCCTCCATTCAATTGTTAGGCACAAAAGGTCAGCCATCCAAGTTCCCAAATATTCTCCCAAAAATAACATGCTACTAGGAAAAGGAGAAATTCAAATTGTAATTCATGCCAACTTACTCTGACTTTTGGGAAGACTCTCCGGAGTGTCTCAGAAGGATTCTGTCGCATCAGAGAGGGAAGGTTTGCGATCACACTTGTCCCTTGAATGTCTTGGCCAGCGCTTACAAAGAAAACACAAATTTTAAATTTGTAATTTTAAGTTGAATTTCTGGTTCACGGTTACAGAAAGCATGGACTGATTTGAAAAAGACTGCTTTGAATGGCATGCACTCAGAACAACTTTTAAACTTGACATCACACCATGTCAAATAAAAATAAAACCAGAACTGAAATTTCACTAAGTAAATCTTGTAACAAATACACGGAGATATTGATTATGCTTATCCTAAAACAAGATTCTCTATTTTTTATGTCTTAAGTCCAAAAGTCTTTGAGACTATTATTACTTTCTTTAAAATTCTGCCTCACTGTTTTCCTTTGACCTGTCAGTTTGTTGTAGTTTACTAAAAAATATATAAATGGTAATGTTTTATTAAGGTAAAACATAGCTGGGCTCAGTGGCTCAGCCCGTAATCCCAGCACTCTGGGAGGCTGAGGTGAGTGCATTGCCTGAGCCTGCGGGTTCAAGACCCGCCTGGGCAACTTGGTGAGACCTCATCTCTACAATAAAATCAAAACTTAGCTAGGCGTGGTAGTGCGCACCTGAAGTTCCAGCTACTTGGAAGGCTGAGGCGGAAGGATCGCCGGAGCCCAGCAGATCGAGGCTGCGGTGGCCGGAGCGGTCACTGCACTCCAGTCTGGGTGACAGAGTGAGACGCCAACTCACAAAAAAAAAAAAAAGGTAAAACACTAATAATAATCATACCAACAGGGACAGCAACAAAATCAACTACAGTAAAATCATACACCTTTCTTTGGACACAATGAAATTACATGTCGTACTAGACTAACACCATGAGTTGCCAGAAACTTCTTAAAAACACATTCAAGCTGGGCTTGGTGGCTCAGCCTGTAATCCCGCGCCTTTGGGAGGCTGAGGTGAGTGGATTGCCTGAGCCCGCGGGTTCAAGACCCGCCTGGGCAGCGAGACCTCATCTCTATAATAAATCAAAAAATCAGCCGGGTGTGGTAGCGCATGCCG